AAGAAAAAACATTACTACAAGACCGCATAACAGCAAAACTAAAAAATAAATCGTAAATAAAGAATCCTAAGAAATATATGAAATAAACCTAAAGAAATATATGAAAAAATAAAAAAATCTTGATTTGCCAATCTTTTTTCGATGTATAGAAATAGTTATTATTTTCTTTCTTTTCCATTCATTTTTATTTCATTCATTAGTTGTTGTTTTTTTTTAACTTCTATTTTCATTACTTTTTTATTTATTTCCTTTCAAATATTTCTTTTTCTTTTCTTCTTTTAAAACATTTATTCATTCTTCTTTTTTAGTTGATTTTATTTTTCGTTTAATTTATAAATGTTTACATTTTTCTTTTTTCCTCTTTTAAAAAAGTTATTATCATCCGTTAGAAAAAAGCGTCCACCATTTGCGAAGTCATTGCAAAGACGATCAATACAATATATCAATACTTTATATTTTTGCAAGTAATTAACAACAATATTTAACAATAATATTTTACGACATTAACTCAACTAAAACTAATAAACGCTATTAACTTTTTTATTGAATTTCTAAACGTCTTGCTTATCTTAACGTTTGTTAATACAAATTAATGTCAAAATTAAAAAAAAATGAAGATCGTGAAAGAAAAATTAAACTCTGTATTGAGGCTATCAATAATAAGAAGATGCCATATTCAGAAACCGCTTTATGTTATAACATTTCTAAAACAACTACTTTTTGCAGAGTCTTCGCAACCAGCAATTATTGATGAATGATTCAGCCAAGTCGACGCTGTTTATCGAAAGTATAATTTAAATGAAAAGCCGTTTCATGTGTTCAACTATGATGAAAGTGGATTGAAATTCGATCAAGGTAAAGTCAACATTGTTTGTCGAAAAGGAATAAAAAATCTAAAACAACTTGCTCCAACAAATGAAAAACATATGACTACAATTTTAACCTGTTTCAATTCTTTTGGAAATTTCCTACCTCATCAAGTCGTTTACAAAGGTCAAAATTTGATGAAAGCTTGGGTTCATGGTAGTGCTTCTGATGTTTATTATTTTACCAGCAAATCAGGTTGGATGGAATTGAATTTTATAAAATGGATTGAATTTTATAAAATGGTTTCGTTCAATTTTTTTAGTTCACGCAAACAAACCTCAAGAATCTAAAATTCTATTTTTAGACGGCCATTTATCTCACATTAATTTTGAATTAAAAAGATTATCTGAATCAAATAACATAATTTTATTCCAATTGCCAGCTCACACAAGTCATTATTTGCAACCACTAGATGTTGGAGTTTTTAAAAGAGTAAAGGCAGAATGGAAGCGAATTGTAGAGGTTTACTTGGTTAGAAATTCTTATTTAAGTTTAAGTAACTGGCAGTTTCCAGCCGTGCTTAAAGGCCTTATTGCAAATAAGACTTTAAAGCAGAAAATGCAGTTTTGAAAATACAGACATATTTCCACTTAATCGTTCAAAAATAACTCCAAGTAATAATTAAAAGAACAACAAGTTATAACATGACTGAACTATAATATATTGCTGCAATACTATTTAATAAAAACTCTGATATTTAATGGCGAAGAATGGCGTGATTATAATCATGGAAGTTTATAAATTAACAATTTACAGTGAGCAAAATTAAGGGGTTACTGAATGTTTTAGTCTTTGAATTACTGCCATTTAAAAATTCAACTGCGTAAGGGATAAAACTGCTTTGCTATATGATAAAAAAAGCACTACAAGCTTCCTATTTGATTAATGGGGAAGCATTTGCTAAGGCTGCAACCAAGCTGATACTAATAACTGATATTTCTTCTGGTTAACAACGGTTAACTGACAGAAACAGGCAGTGACGGTTTTTTTATTTAACTCATGACAAAAAAAAAATAATGGAAGACAGAATCTAATAAATAGATAATGCATACTCTGTACCAACACAATGTTATACCCTTACATTAAAAAAAAAGTATTTTTAAATTTTAAAAATCTTTTTACCTAACTTTAAGCTAGAGGTCTACGCTAGTATAAATTATTTACTTTTTAAAATTGAATGCTATTTTTTGGGATTAGATATGTACGTTCGGAATTAGGAACACGTGTTCCTAATTCCGAACGAAAACTTTACTTTTTAAATTTAAAAAAAATAACAATATTTTTTATAATAAATATACTTGTTGCTTAATATGGTTCGATTCAGTTTAGATTCCAGTTTATTTATTAAAAAAAAATTAATTTGAAATCCAAAAAGCAAGCCGAGCTATTCAATATTAAGTACGATTTTGTTCGGAATTATGGAAATCGATAATTGCGAACAAAATATTATAATTTTGTTCGGAATTATATTTTCGGTATTTATAATTTTAGGTATTAAAAAATATCTAAATCTTATTCTTTGAATAGAATTATTATTGGAATTTATTTTATTGAAAATAAAATTAAAATAATAAGAAGGAAAACGTCTCAGAATATTAAAATATGTTTTTATGCAAACGAATTTGGCTTCATTTGTTTACTTAATTGAAATTCATTAAAAAATTTTCTGAGCGTTGAAATTTTTTAAGTTTTAGATTAATATGTTATTAATTTGTTTCTTTTTTCTGCTTGTTAGGTTTAAATTGTTTTTTTAATGTCAAAGTAAAACTCTACTATCACTTGTTTTTAAGGTGGTTCCTACATAATCAAAAGTCAAAATTTTTTCAAAAATTGATTTTTTGGCAAATTAGATATTCTAATGTAAAATTTAACGCTCTTTCTCGTGGTATAATTTTTTTTTTAAGTTTGTTTATGCTTTTTTACAATATTTACAATTTTATACAGGTAGGTATAATTTTAGTGCCTAGCAACGGCCATAGCAACCGCTTTATTTTTCTGGTTATTATCTTAAATCTTTTTGTGATCTTCATTTTTACCATTTATTTAAACATGAACTTATAAAAAGTATATGTGTATCCTTAACAACTATAATTTACATATATAATAGATATAACGCATCTTGTATTTATTATGGATTATTTTAAGTTTCTTACTTTTGTTAACTTATTTTTATTTTTTAACCTTGTAATTATCTTTTAAATTTTAACACGAACATTTCTCAGCGGTACTCGACGACAAGACCTTCTACGAGTCCCCGCGTTCTTTTATTTGCTAATAACGACCATTATATTTATATATAAATTTATTATTATATATTTGTATTTAAAATATTGTAACGAAATGCTTATTTTACATGTAATAAAAGAACGAAAAAAAATAAAAAATGAACTTTAAACTTAAAGTTGTACATCTCTTTTGCTATTCTAATGTTGCCTTGTACGTCCAAGTTGTTAAATATTTTATCATTATATGTTAAGCTTTTGCAGAGTGCAAACAGCAGGTAGGCTTTTTTATAATAATTTTTTTACTTTTTACTGTTTTCTAATGTGTTTGTTGAAATTATTTAACATTTTAGTTAGATTCTAGTAAAATAATAAAGATTTAATATGGCTAACCTTCGAAATAACAAAAGAAAGTTATCAAGAAAGGGTGTTGGTGGTCGTGGTTGTAGAAAATCTGTACATATTGTAAATGATAAATGTGATACCAATGGAAATAAAAAAATGTAAAAATTGAAAATATCACCAAAAAAGAGTTTACCATTAAACCAGCTGAACATTCTGGAAGTATTGATGATTATTTTTTATTTATAAATTTTAAAATACTCATGGAAATGATAGCAGTTGGAAACAAGTGTCAAGAATGTGGGGAAGCCAATGTCATAATATCTAATAATTTGGATGATAGAAAGGGATTTTCTCATAAAATTGTTTACTTTTGTAAAAAATGTAAAAATAAAAGTCACAAGTATACTTCACCTTTTAGTGCTTCTGAATAAATGTATGGTTGTAAGCCGAGTGAAATTAATATTCGATTGGTTATGGCATTTCGAGAAATCGGTAAAGGGCATGAATCAATTAAAACATTTGCACGGCGTATGAAGATGCACTCAATATTAATAATAAGTTATTTTCTGCATATGAAAATTCTGCAATAGAAAGTATGCAAAATGCTGCACATGAAGCAAAAATGGAAGAAATTGTCCCAGGTACACATTCTTGTTGTGTATCGATTGATGGAACTTGGCAAAAAAGAGGACACTCTTCGTTGAATGGTGTAGTGACAGCAGTAAGCAAAGGAAAGTGTTTGGATGTTATTGTTTTATCAAAACATTGTAGACAGTGTATAATATGGAGTGGAAAAAAAGGGACAACAGAATACGCAAATTGGAAAGTTGCACATAATTGTAGAATTAACCATTGTAAGTCATAAGGAGCAATGGAAGCCTCAGATGCTATTGATATATTTCAGCAATCTGTAAGTCGAAATAAACTAGTTTATAATGAGTATCTTGGAGATGGAGACACAGCGTCTTACAAAGAAGTTGTTAACTCCAAACCCTACAAAGCGCAGTTTGGTATTACACCTGTTAAACTTAAATGTATTGGACATTAAAACAAAAGAATAGGTTCTCGACTTAGGACACTCGTACAAGAATATAAAAATACCTCTACACCGTTTAGTGGAAAAGGAAAATTGACTAACAACTTCATTAAATCAATAACAAATTATTATGGTATTCCCATTCGAAGAAGTCTAAAATTAAATTGCTCTAACGATGAAAAAATTTACACAATGAAAAAGTGGATAGGTGCTATTCTTCATCATTGCACCGACTTTTCTAACTTAGATAAGCGCCACATGTTTTGTCCACATGGAGAAGAATCATGGTGTAGTTATAAGAAAAATAAACTTAAAAAACACAAAGAGAGGATTAGTTTACCAGAGTGGATGTTTCCTACCTTGTCAAAGATTTTCCAAGATCATTCAAATGATGACCTTCTTCGCAAGTGCATCCACGGGGAAACTCAAAATGCTAATGAGTTCCTGAATAATCTTATCTGGATGAAATATCCTAAGTAAATCTTTGTAGAAAGATCAATTTTACAGTTAGGTGTATATAGTGCTATTCTTCAATTCAATGAAGGTCCTTTTGGACTTGTTAAAGTGTATGAAAAACTTGGAATACAGACCGGTGTCTTTTTTAATATTATATCCGAAAAAATGAGCCAACGCAGTATCCTAAATTTTATTATCAAAACATCAGAGAAGACAAAAGCAAAAAGAAAAAAACTAAAAACCATCAAGAAGGGTTTATTGGATAAAGACTTACATAAAGAGGGAGGAGAAACTTATTTAAAAAGAGGATTTTAGTTTTAAAAACAAATTTTTCCTCTTGTTTTTTGATTTTCTACGATATCGTTTTTCAAGAAAATTGTTTCACAAAAATAACATCATAACTTTTAAATTAATAGTGATAACTACTTGAAATTTTCAGGGCTTATTTATCAAGTGTACTGCTATTGCCTGAGTTATTTTCAAATAATTTTATTATTTGTAAGTTGTGGTTAGGGAACTAAGATCAGAGGCCTAGTAGCAGATTTTTTAAAAATACAGTTGTTTTGAAGCATAACTTTTAGTAGAAACAGGATCTTTTAATAAAAAAAACTCACGCACTAGATACAGGTAACATGCACAAGTATACCAAGTTTGAAAGTAAAATGAGCTTTTACTCTTAAGTAATTGTGTTTCTAGTAAACTCTATTTTAGGGGTTATTTTGACTATTATAGGCCCCTATGTGATATTTTTGGAGTTGGAAAATTTTTTTTACACATTCTGTACTTACTTTTGAGAAAATTAATGCTTAATGAATAGAAAGTAACTTTTTTTGATTACATAGGAACCACCTTAAAACCCTAGTTTTTATTTCTATGTTAAACATGTAGGGGAGAATTGCCGAAATTGGAACAGCGTCTTAATTGGAACACTTGCATTTATTTTTAAAAAAAAAAATGAATAATGGCTATATTTTGCATTTTTTTTATTAAAACGCATTATTTTCTACTTTTTGACACATTTTGAAAGTTATTCCTCAAAAAATGCATTTGCATCATTGATTTAAAGTTTTTTTGCATCATTTTTTTTCAGTGATCTAATTTTGCATTCATACTTTATTGGTAGCACTTGGTAAACTATGGTGTTATAGGTTATACGATTTTTTGTGTTTAATTTGATGGGATTTAAAATGCAAAATAATGTAAACTTATAAGTTGCTGCAAGCATGTTATTGCAGTGATATAACAAAATGATCCAAAGTTTCCTTGATTGGAACATTAAAATTTTCCTTACCTAATCAGCAATAAAATCAAAGGGTTGTAAAAATAGTTTGAGTGTTATTAAAAAATACTTAGTAACAACCATAAACCGTAAAAGTAATACTTTATTTAGTGATTTTTAATCAATAAATTAAGAAAACGTTGTAACAGTTGAAGCTTTTATACAATTTTTTGTTTGTAGACTTTAATTTTGTCAGGGTAATAGTAATCCTATAATAAGTTTTAAATTAACTGTTTAAATTTTTATTGTAAAGATAAAAATCATTTTTAACTCTTTTTTTCAAATTTTTGGTGATTTTACTGGGTTTTATTTAAAAAAAAGTAACATGTTTTGATTAAGGAATCAATTTAGGGAGCCAGTTGCCTTGATTGGAACAAAATGGTACCTTTACAAAAACAAATTTATTTCCAATAACAGTGCAATCAATTAAGTCAAATTTGTGGTTAAATGTATAGTAAGGATGTCTGTTTGTATTATTTAAATCATAAATGTTTTCATAGTTAAGCTATCTTTGGTTAATAAATATTTATTCCTTAAGTGTTCCAATTAAGGCAACTCTCCCCTTTATATAATTACTGTATACACATGTATACTTTTGAATATATACTATATTACAGTAGAGTATATATTATATCATTTTACACTGAATAGTTGTTAAAATTTATACATTTAAACAACAATATAAATGCTTTTTCGATATTCTTCTTTGCATGTTTTATTTTATCCTCCAATTTTAATGTTTTCGAGAAAATCATAATACATTCTTACTTATATTATATGTAAGAATGTTTATCTGGAACAAAGTATATACAGTTTAACATACTGTATGACAATTGTATATACTTATTAAGGCCTATTTTATGTATTACATAAAATACATAAGTATATAGTATGTATATATATGTATATATACATCTGAATCTGTATACATATATATACATACAATATATGTATATACAAAGCATCTGAAGTTTTTATTTAAAACGAATATCATCAATATATTAAAGTGAGTTTTTAAATCTATTAATATTTACAAATTTTATAACAACAAAAATGATAACAAGTATTTTATGGAAATGGAAATTCAAATAGAAAAAAACACAGCAATTGTGAAGTCTTTTCCTAGCTTATCAAGTCCAAGCTATTTTGATGCATGGTATCTTTTGTAAATAAAAAATAATTTGACCTTTGTTATTTTTAGGTTTTTTGGTATCCATGATATCTAATTGTATTTTATCTAAAAATATGTCTTGTTCAAAAAGTTTAAATTTATGTTCTTCAAACCTTGATATTCTACCCAGAGACGTATTTGAATTTTTGGCGCCCTGGGGCACTGTTCCTTTAAGCGCCCTTTTTTAAGAATAATGTCAACTTTGATATGGGGTGATCATTAAAAAAAAAAACATTTTCTATACCAACATATATTAAGTTATATTAATCACTATAGAAAATTATAATTTTCTATGTGAGTTTTGTTTTGCAAATGTATTTATAATGTCATTAAAGTTCATATCTATGGTAAGTACAGATTCTATAGATAGAATTGCTAACCTATTAAGACGATCACTTGTCATTCGTGACCTCAAATAAGATTTAACCCTCTTTAATGCTGAAAATGATCTCTCGGCTGAACAATTGGACGTTGGGCAGCATAGATATATTCTTAATGCTATATCTACATAAGGAAACAGCTCTTGAAGTTTTTCAGTTCTGATCATTTTATAAACATCTATTATAGTTTTAGGTCTTAAGTTTTCAGTTAAACTCATTAAATAACTTCTAAATTGTATACACTCGTTAGCAAATGAAGACGAAAGATCATTTTTATATACATTTTGAAGTACCTCTGCTTTTTTGTAAACTTCTGATGGCGAAAGTTTTATTATTTGAAATAAAAAGTTAAATTTTTTATTGGCTTCATCATAGCACAATTTTCTTCTTTCTAGTTCAGAATGAAGTTTATCAATTATAGCATAATATGTATTAATTCTTAAAGAGTCTCGAATTTTAAAATTTGTTTCTTCTTCTCTTTTTTCATCTGCAGTTAGTTTTCTTTTTCTTTTGCGTATTTTTCGATATGTTTTGTGTCCTGACTTATTTATTGCTCTCTCTTCATAGATATCAAACATACTCCTTAAATCTAATACATATCGAATTAAAGATTCGTATAAACTTACAACTGTTTCTAAATCAATCTCAACTGACTGCAATTGTTTGCTAGTTTTGTTGAATCTTTCTAGTATATCGCCCCATAATGTGGCCATTATAGCTGTTTCAAGACTATCCAGTTTTAAATATAGCCCGTTAGCTTCTGATCTTGTAATAGATTTTTCTGTTTTATCATCTTTGATAAAAGACAGTGCATTAATTATTTCAATCCAATTTTTGTTTAAACTAATACTTGCATCAGATCTTGCTGACCATCTGGTATCTGATAGTGTTTTAAGAGATACATTTTCTGTTTTAATCAAATTCTTCTGAAGTATTTCCCATCTATAAGTAGAGGCACTGAAAAATTTATAAATATTTTGAAGCAGAATAAAAAATTCAGAAGCATAAATACAACAGTCCACAGCGCACTCACCAACAAGATTTAAAGAGTGTGCCGAGCATGGTACAAATGTTGCTAAAGGATTAACTTTTTTAATGCGAGCTTGAAGTCCTGTGTATCTACCAGACATATTAGACGCATTGTCGTAACTTTGACCACGACAATTATTAATATCTAATCCATGCGATTCTAAAACTAAAAATACAGCATCTGCTAATTCTTCAGATTTATGACCAGAATTAGGTAAAAACCCTAAAAATCTTTCTACCGGACAGCCATTCTTTTAAACATACCGAAAAATGAATGACAGTTGATCTACATGGCTAATGTCAGGAGTAGAATCAATACTGATGGAAAAGTATTTAGCTTCCTTTATTTCTTTCACCATTTGTTGAATAACATTATCTGCCATTATACTTATGAGCTGCTCATATATATTAAATGATAGGTATGATGTTGAACCTTTTCCTTTATTTTCAAACTTCTCAATGTGTTGTGCTAAAAAAGGATCAAACTGAGCAATAAGCTCTAAGCTCATCATAAAGTTCCCATTATGAACAGATCCAAAACGGTCATCATCACCTCTAAAAGACATTCCACGAGAAGAAAGGGATTTCACAACAGCTACAACTCTTGTCAATACATTTTTCCAATAATTTATTTCTGTTTCTACTTGATACTTTAGCTTTTGATCAACTCGATTTAATACTTCTTTTCTTTCTTTCATATTCATTACACACAATTTGTGGTGTTGTGAATTTTCATGACGATTTTTTCTTCTCCTTTTTTCCAATCTGAAAAACCAACTGTGGCAAACGATGTAGTGCCACCAAATAAATAGCAGGGAGCACAAAATATTGATCCTTTACTTTCTGAGTAAATCAAAAATGTTCGGTTAATTTTTTCACCATTAACAAGAGTAGATATAAATATACTTTTTGACATATATCGAAAACGAGTACGTCTTACCCCACCAATTATTTGAGTGTAAATTCTTTTTGACTTTTGGAAATTATTGTTCTCTAAATTTTGGTTAAATCCATTGATTGATAAATAATCTATCGTTTCTTGATTTTTTATCCAATTGGCAGGATCATTTCTAAAGGGAAAATATATTTGTTTAATATACAAAAACCAAAAAATATTATTCAAAGTTTATAACAAATTGTATAAAAAAAACATTAAAGCATTAGGTAATAGAGATAAATGCATAATATAATATAACTAGAGGATATAGGTATCGTTTAAAATGTACAGAGTGTACTATATTTGTTAATAATTTAATTTCCAGCATAATTTTACATGACAAGCGACTTAAAAAATAGTCTACCTTTGTACATGTTTATAATTGTAACCTACCATGAAAAAAATTAAAAAAAGCTTACTCAGGAACAATACTTTGTTTAGGAAGACTGTTATGTTCAACCATTGGCAAACGTGGTGTATCATTTATTTCTTCCGATTCTGTAGACAATAGAGTTTTACTCGTTTCTGTGTTGCTGTTATTTAGTAATATAAGATTGTCTGGATTTGTTAGATTATCTTTATTAACAGTGAATCTGTGATCATTTTGGTTTCTATAGAGAAAAATATAATAAATTTTGTATAACATGCATGTACCAAAAGATATTATTTATAAATTATATCAAATTTTAAATAAAGATTTTATAATAAACATTCGGGCTTGTTATGTTCATGCATGGACAAACAGGGTGTTTCATTTAGTTCTTTGGATTCTGGAGTCAATAGAGTTTTACTAGTTTCAGTACAGCTCTTACTTGATAATATTAATATTAAATCGTCTGGATTTGATAAGTTATTCTCATTAACAATAAAGCTGTGATCATTTTCATCGCTTGTATTATTTACATTTTCAACTGAAAGCATAAATAACGTTTACTACACATATCTACATTTTAGATATAAATTATTTACATTTAATAATAAATAACATAACTATATGAAGTATAAACAATAAATAACAGAACAATATGTACCTATATGCATATATATTTGCTAGAAAGCAAAATTAATAAAACGTATGGTTTTCTACCTAAATAAACTTACCCGGCGATGTGTGAAGCTGTTTATCTGTAAAGCTAAAATATGTTTCTAACTTAGCAGTCTTTAAAAGTATTTTTGCTTGAGCTTCATTTTTTGCATGGGTTCGTTTTCGGTTTTCTGCGCCACTAAGCTTTTTAGTATGAATCATCATTGCTTTTTAAAATAAGAATCCTAAAAAGTGTGTATTATATATATATTGTTATCATATATATATGATAACAATAATGTTAATACTAAAACTAAAAACAATAATCGAAATACGAATATTTACCTTTTTCAAGACTGTATACTGTAATACAAGGGATTAAGCAGACAACATACCGAAGAACAAAATACTTAGGCCAACAATAAAAAAAACTGACAGCAATCTTAAAAATTCAAAATTATATTGTGCACACGTGGTATATACAAGATGGTTAGCAAAAAAGGCGATCAAAGTCAAATTGCTAATTTAATATAATTAATGCGTAATTTATTCTGCTCATCACTTCAAATTATATAAAAATAAATTAAAAAACAAACTGATTATTTAAAGTTTAAAGTATTTTTAAAGAGTTTTTTTTTTTTAGAAAATGTAAAGAGAATCTTTGAAGAATTATTTCATTTTTTAAAAGTAAATAGCTGTGTCTATACCTAAGTATTTCTGTTAATAAAGTCAATTAAGAGTAAAATGAAAATGCTAGGTAAAACGCACCATTTATTTTTTTCTAGTATATTATTTACTAATTAATAAATAAGGATCAAGTATTTGATTAATAAAAATTATAAATCATTTATTCAAAAAAAAATATAAATTTTATTTATATCAAGATTAGATAGTATATTAAATAAGAACACTCGTAGGAGTAGACCTCGGAGCGCCAGCGTCAGAGTGATGAGCTTAACCGTTAAGCTATCGCTACATACCGTATCATTAAAATATTTATAATAAATAAATAATTTGTTTAGACACGTGACTTTCAGTATCAAATCAACGTTTTTAGATGAATAATTGGCGCATAATTATGTATAATTTGCAAGTTTAATTTGATCTCCTTTTGATTGATATTTTCTTCTGCTAACTAAATTTTTCTAAAATCAACTAGAGATATTTAGTAAGTCGATAAGTAGGTCTATGATTTGAACATAATAATAATATAAAAATTTTCGTGAAATGATATAAATAGACTATTTTACAATTTTCTAAAATTCTAACATTCTGAAAGCTGGCGCCCTGTCAAAACATGGCGCCCGGGGGCCAAAGCCCCTGGCCCCCCCGTAAATACGTCTCTGATTCTACCTGCTCAAATGAGAAAAATTCTACATTCAAAACTATAAACAGCTGTACAATAAAATTTTAATCAATATTTTCAATCTATTTGATTTTATAAACATTTTTTCGATATTAGACATGAAATGATTAGAGAGTGACCATAGATATGATAATCACTTTTGAAGTTAAAAATTGTTGCAATAAATGTTGGAATCAATAACATTGATTGTTTCATTCTTGTTTTAAAAGTAAAAGAATATATAATTTCAACAGTTAAAAACATTTATTTGTGAGCAGCAAAGTGACCCGAAAAATGGTGTCAAGGAAAAAAAAACAAATTATTAATTAATGGTTTTTAAAAAGACAGTTGAGTTTTTTTATTTCACTCAATTTACACAAAATTATAAACTTAAACATTTTTTCACTTAAGTAGATAGTAGTAGGTACAGATTATTAAAAGACTGGAAAAGGAATTTTAACTATAACTTAATTTCAATTTTAACTTTTTTTTTTTATTGCCTGTATATTATGTAAAGTATTATTCTTAAGTTATTTGGTTAATAAATAGCTATTTAAATAAATAAATAAATTTTTGTTGACTTACAACTAAAAAATGTTGTGCCCTAGATTAGGTTCCCATTAATTTAGAAATAATTTTAGTCTGTAAAGGCCTCTAATATTGAGTTATAAATAGCTTACAAACCATTTGCTAAGTGACTAATAAAATTAGAAAGTAATAAATAAGAATTTGAGAAATTACAATACATTAATAAAATGAAAGATACATCTAAGGTAGAAATCCCCTTAGATATATGAAATATTTAAAAGGTTCTTTTTTTTTAAGCAAAGTTTATCATTGATTTACAATTTTAAAACTGAATTTTAAAATTTCCTATAGATCTTTTAGATATATAGTTCATTGAAACATAAACACTTTGATTTTTATAGAGAAAATAATTTCTAGGACATTGCAAAATACTTTATTTAAAGCAAATTGAATTATTATAATAAAGTTAACAAAAACATTATTTATTTTAGGAGAACAATAGAATTGTCAGGTAAAACAGCTAAGGTCAGCTCAAACAATTGATAAGAAGACTCTCAAAACTATATTCACGTTATATCAGAGTATGTTTTATTGTTTATATATTTTTTTATATTGACTTTTTCTCTTTGCAACAACAGGGTAGATTAAATAGTTTACCTCCATACAGATTTCAGTATTAAAAAACCAACTGGGAAGTAGACAATATTAAAGAAAAAGCAAATAGGTAATTGCCAGTGTAAATATTTTTATTTATTCAATTATAAAATGATTATTAATTAGGTTTTATATATCTATTGCAATATTAGTGTTTTTAAAGGTTGTTAATTTATTACAAATTTAGCACAAAATGTTTTATCTTTTTATGTTAGAATAAAAAATTGAATCCACGTAGCTAAACCAACGAATAAAAAGTTTAAAATCTTAAATAAATGAAACACAAAAAAAAATTTATTTTAACGCTCTAATAATGAGCAAAATTATTTAAAAATTGTAAACAAATCACAAAAAAAGTAACTTTTTTGTGCTTATGTTTTTTTCATAATGAAACATTTCTTATTATGTTTGAAATAATAATTTACGTAGTTAATCTATGCATAAACTTACTTAACTCAATAAATAGTTAGAAACGTGAATATCTTCAAGAACAAGTTTGATCGTTTCGAAAAAATAATGAAACAAAATAAAAATATAAATTAAAAACAATGGGAAAAAAACAAAAAGCTTTTGCAAAGGCTGACAAAGTTTTAACAGGTGTTAGACTCACCACATAACATTGTATGTGTCGAGCAAAAAATTTATTATTATCTTGATTATTATCATTTTTTAATCAAACCTTAACAGATATTTTTTGGCTTTAATGCAATATATAGATTTAAAAAACAATAACTACTATAAACACAACGCAAAAATGTGTTTATCGGAGTACCGTAACGTTGGAATCAGAAAACAAATTGATCAATGGTCATTTATATCTTTTGATCTTTATTGTTCTGAAGCTTTCCAAGACTGTACTTGTTTTAATAGTATTTCTGATCGAATTGGCAAAATTTTTTCTTTTTATCCATTAGTCAATACTTTTGTTAATGGTGGTATTTATGTTCATCACACTTAACAACTTGGCCACTAAGTTGTCATTAAAGCTCAAAACCTTTGTCTTTGTCAAAATCTTAATTACGTAATTAACTTTGTGACTTATTTTAAAGACATCACTTATCACTTTTATTCTTACTTGTTATTTTGAAGTCAAGCCTGATTTTATCCCATTTTCTTCTTTTTGTGCATTTGCTATGTTTAACAACATTTCTTTTTGACAGGAGCAACTCTTTTGAGAACAACCGTCAAAGACATTTAGAAGATCTTTAACACTGATATTACGAAAGGCAAGTCTAATATTCTCTTATACATCATCTTTTTATCTCTCACTAGGATAAGAAAAGTTCTAAATCTAATGACCACACTCTTTCTGTAATCTCAAAGAAATAGGTTTATCCAGTGTTGGAAATCCAAGTGAGAAATATTGTTTGAACCTTACAACGTATACTTTGTGAAATTCAAACAACATTTCAGCCACAGCTTTATAAATGTGTTTTCCAATTTTTATAAATTCAGAAAAAAAAAATAGAGTGACTAACCAGCAGTTAATTGAATGTCTATTGTTAATAACAATTAAATTATCATATCTATATATCATCCGCAGTAAAATGTTTATTTTTATGTTTTTTCGGTGATTTATTCTTATTTGTTCGGTATTTTTATAAATTTATTCTGTTTATTAATTCGGTGTTCCAATTTTAGCCTCTCCTACTTTTGAATAATTTTCCCAAATTTTCAATGATAGCTATTTATTAATTTTAAAATAGTACATTTAATCAGTCACTGAATTCAGCTACATTGAAAGTCAAGAGTCACTGAGTTCAGCTACATTGAAAGTCAAGAGTCACTGAATTCAGCTACATTGATACTCAATTACATTGAAAGTCAAGAGTGCATCTGAAATAGTTTTAAATTCATTAGTTTCAAAAACGAAAACCACTTGCCCCAGAAGTTTTACCTTTATTTATGCCGTAATAACGAAATAAAGCTTTATTTATAAAAAACTTAGATAATATAAAACAGTATTTTGATTCCAAATTTTTTTTTAATTTTTACATGAACGTTTTGGTTTGAGGAACCCAAATTTCTTTAATTTAAGTTAGCTTTTGTACGCCTAAACGACTCTAATACTTATCATTAAGTACATGTAAATTTATTTTAAAATAACAAGGTATTCTTTAATTTTGTTATGTATTTATAATGGTATTTTGGGTTAAGGATTCCAAATTTTATCTTTAAATCATTAGTTTCGCCCATAAATAGTACTAACACGCGCATGCTCGTTGTTCGATTTTAGGTACGCGAATTTTTTTAAAACAACAAATTTAAATTTTTCTATCCAAAAAACGCAGATATTTATATTTGATGGTTATATAATTTTTACCGGATTTTTACGTTTTTGAATGAACCTCCAATGGATATTTATAAGAACACTTGTTGTATTTTTATAGCGTTAATCTTTATATATTTTTATAACGTAAAGAGTTGAAATTTTTCGACAATTTTGACAGGGGTAGGAGAAGGTCAAGAAAAGTTGACGTCAAGTTAATAAATGTTAATAAATTTAATTACTTAAAAAAATGGTAAACAAAAGGTTGTTTTTTTCCATTTTCATTTTATTTAAGGGGGAGGAGGGAGGGAGAGAATAAAATTTTTACGTAATTTGACATAATTTTATACTTTTTCAAAGATTTATCGATTCTCCCCTTACAAAATAAAGACGTCTTAAGCAAATACGTTTTTTTTTTAATGTTTGAAAAAAAAAAAAATTTTTTACTGCACCTATTTTTTGAAAGCACGTGCTTTTTTTATAGTGCACTGTAAAAAAAGTGGCTTTCGTGAGTGCAACTTGATTTTCTTCTTAATAGTCATAGTACACTGTAGTAAAACGTTTCTACCTGAAAAAAAAGTTTATTGGGGCCACATGTGTCATTAAATGATAGCCACACTCGATATAAAGGATGGCGCAAATGTGGACCATGTGTGAATATGGTATTTATATCACTTAGGTGGTATAAACACCATATTCACTTTAATGGTATAAGTGTTATAGCCATTAAGGCTATAAAACTTATACCATTAAAGTATTGTAAATCGAATATATCCCATAAATCGAATGTGGCTATCAGAGGCGATTTTACGGGGGATAAGTAGTGTTCCAACCCCCCCTCCCCAAAGAAGTAGATTTTGAAGTTATAGTCGGTTTTTTAAAGAATTAAGTTGGCTAGTTGGGTATTTATCACAAATCAGTCGGGTAAATTTTAGTTTAGAGGACCTTTTTTTTTAAGATTCACCCCTTTCCTCATTTTATTCGTAAAATCGCCTCTGGTGGCTATTACACGCGGCGGGTATCAATTTTTTTTTGTCGCGTAAGTATAATTGCATCGCTGAAAAAGACTTTTAAAATAAACATATATATTTATATAGTATTAGAAATTTTACATTTAAAAACTAAACTCATTATAAACAATAAAACTTTTATGTACACACAGTGTATATACATGTATAGTATATGTATAAAGTACATATTATTTATATTCATTTTATGTTTTTGGCACACAAATAATCTGCTAATTAAACAATATGAGCATTATTTTAAAATTTACAAAAGTAATTAATTTCAAAAACAAAAATAATTATGATTGTACTAAAAATAAACTTATTATGTATTATATTAGTTTATAAAATAACTACTTAAGTTTAACAAAAAATAAAAGTATTTTAAGTGAATCACGTAAGTATTTAACATAAAAAACCCGGGAAAACAAAAAATTGTTTCAGGTTAATTTGACCAGAGAAGTTTTGTTTATTTCAAAAAGAACTATTTGCCGTTGGTGTGAGCAAGTTTTTGCTTTCTTTTACGCTGTTTATTAAATACATTTATATCGTCACCAAACACATCGCCAGTACGCAAAGCAGATATTAAATCATCAAACTCTCCAGGACTTCGCTCAGATAATGACCTGCGATCATTTGAATTTTTAAACATAAGCAATTTACTTGATGACGTTCTTCGATTTCCTTTTTCCTAGTAGTTAAAAAAATTAGACATTTAAGAAATTTTATAAAAATAGAAACCTCAAGGTTTAACTGTAGTCAGTTTTTAACTATTTCTATAAATAATTTTTGTGCAGTTATTGTTAATATTTTTCATTACCATAACAATTTAAAAATTACCTCGACATTGGCTTTTCTCGAATCATTTTTCTCTTTTTTGAAAATAATATTTTCACTTTTTACCTCCTAAATTAAAGAAAATATCTTTAAGTTGATTTATAAATTGTAGAA